CTAAACAATGCTCAAATCGGTTGTGGGCGGCTCCCGGGTATACGAAATAGCCCATGCCCAGCTGTTTGAGGTCACGAAGTCTCTGGAACTCGGGCGTGTCGATAACGACAATACAGATTGGGTGAATTAGGATGTGTCCATGGACTGGATCTGAGAATATCTAAACAAAAGCAAAATAAAAAACATGGTAGAAAATAAATAGCTAATTGCTTTTAAGATATATGGTATACGGAAACACACCGGACTTATTAGTAATCTATGCTAGCAACATACAAATAAATAACAGAATAGGAGAGGCCAAACCTGACTTTTATAAAAGGAAGAACATTTTGTGCAATAAAGCCGTGTCACTGGAGGGTAGGAAAAGAATTGTCGCCAGTTATAGAGTTAGTTTTAACATGTGGCTGTGAATCCTTGACAATTAATAAACAAGCCGAACAATATCTTGAAGCCTCGGAGATATGGTTTTACAGAAGAATCCTTGGAATTCCCTGGACAGCTAAGAAGAGCAACTCATATACTTTAAAAATGGCGAGTGCTTGAAGACAACTTATCACAAACATCAGACTCTTTCATTTTTATGGCATTGTGCTGCTGGGGTTACCTCCCTCCCCGGACAGCAGCCATATATGCCCTGTACCAGTTCTAAAGGAAATATGGGTTGTGTTTTTGCCTTTCCCTTTAACACGTAACTAAGGTGGGGCTCACAGTGTGCTCATTCCCCGCCACCAGATTGCCTGCTGATTTCGCTGAGCTCTTCTTGGCTCTAAGCATGGCCTAAGCATGAGTAGTTGGGACAGCTGGATCGTCACGTCCTGAGTCCCTGTGCCTTTACGATAGTTTCCGGTATTGAGGGGGTTAGCAAACTTGTTTCCTCTCCTAAGACTGGTGAGCACCCCTCCTGCTCCTTCCCTTAGATAATCGCACTGGAAACAGCAGTTTACCACCTAAAGACTGTAATGGATGTTTATCCTTCAAAGACCCAAAATATTGTCATCTTCACTGATTCAATGTCTGCACTTCAAGCTCTGGTGGTCAGTGAACGCTGCAAAACTGACATAGCTAAGATAATTCTAGATGCTGATCAGCTCATTACCTCGTACAACATTGGAATAGTGATGCAGTGGATACCAGGCCACTCCGGCACACCGGGTAATGACAGAGCTGACAGATTGGCAAAGTAAGGAGCAACACAAGAACAACCACCTACAGCGACAACCCTACAGACAGCAAAAACACTTATAAAAGCTATAAACAAAGAGACGTGGCTGAACAGATGGGCCATGGGAGATACTGGAAGAAAGGTTGATAGACGCATGGATAGCCCTGATCCTAATGACAGCAATAACCATTTAACAAGAAGGGACCAGGCCACCATCTTCAGTCTTAGAACACAACATATTCCACTCAATGGACACCTAAACAGAATACAGCCGCAACACTCTCCAGAGTGCCAGTTATGTAACTACCCCTACGAAACTGTTGACTATCATCTTTTTTAGTGCCCAAAACCTAACGAGACTAGAAGAATGCTACTCCCTCCGAGACCAGACAGGTGGAACACCTTGTCCGGAGGAAAAGAACAGCTTGTGAAAACATGTAAATTCCACTACATGGCATTGGGCCAAAGGGCGAAAGCTCAAGCGCCGCTGGATCAATAACAACAACAACAACAACAACACAAACATCAGAATGAGACAGTCATCATTTTTGTTCGGTCATGTTATGAGAAAAGGGAAACTGGAACATATTTGTGAGCACTGGAAAGATCTGTGGAAAAAGAGACAGGGTTAGACAGCATGAGAAGATTCTTGACAGTCTTTAGTCATAGCATGGAAGGGTGTCAAAACACGAACTGATACACGCAGTTGCCAATCGTGGATTGTGGAGTGACATAATCGCAGACGCCAGTCAGCAAGGCGCTTGATGATTATGATGATACTGGGAACAGCTAGCAACATTTAAAATGTAAAAAATATAAAAATACTTTTCATCATTTTTGCGTTCGCAAACCACTTTGTTATGTAAAGAGTTAATGAGGCCAAATTCTTGTAAAGCAGAGGTACACACAGGAATTCATGTTGCCGTCGGCCACTCCTTGCTCTCCTGTAGGAATCCAATAGTTGTCTTGTCGCCTGAGGTCGTTCTTGTTTGTGAATGCAGCAAGTCATACACGCTGGATACACATATGAACGCCTACAGCAATCAGAGACGGAGATGACAAGAGAAATACGACAGTTTAGTCAGTTGTCACTCCAGAGATGATATGTTAGCATTTCTTCACTTCCCGTATGCCTTTTAGTTGTTATATTTATTCACACTGTCTCGGCTATGGTTTTAACTCTTTCTGTGCAACAGTTATTAGTTGTGATTGCTTACATCATTTATTACTTTCAAATATAGACTGCTTCGGATAGAATGATTTGCGGATAGCAACTATTTACCAACTGAAACAGTTAAGCATTTACAAAAGTAGATCAGTCAAGATGGTGGTGATCTTAACACATGAACGCTTTACTACCTTTCCAGTTTTCATAAATGCTCCTGCATCTGGTTCTTCTTCACCTGTAAAAAAAAAACAGCTGAAGTTTTATGGCTTCCCTTAATATTTCCTTCCCCCAACCCCTTTTTATAATTACTAAACGTATTTATATGTAAGTAGTATATACAAATTGAGGGTTCAGCACACTTGCACTTTTAAAATAATAATTTTTTTATTATATCGTGTCCCCCCTCGAAAAAATAATAAAATTATTATTTTAAAAAGGCATGTTTGCTAATTACTCACATGATACTATACTAAAGTATGTTAAAAATTATTATTTTAAAAAGGCATGTTTGCTATTTACTCACATGATACTATACTAAAGTATGTTTAAAATTATTATTTTTAAAAAAGCATGTTTACTAATTACCCACATGATACTATACTAAAGTATGTTAAAAATATTTTTAAAAAGTTTGTATATAATATAATAAAATAATAAAATAATATAATAAAATAATAATAATATAATAATATGAAATAATAATAATAGGGAACTCCACCAAACACAATCGGCAATCCCCGAAATGATATTTTGTAATGATGAATTTGAAATAAAAAATAATAATTGTCTTTTTAATATACTAATATAATAATAATACATAATAATTAAATCATTATATATCTAAAAATTACATATATAAAAATGGACACCAGTGAATTTCAGAAAACTTGTTCATTCTGTCATGAATTAAAACCTTTAACCTGTTATGTAAAAGATAAAAAAAGGAAATTCGGTCATAGAGCAAATTGTAAAGAATGTAATAAAACATATAAAATGAAACACTATCAAGAAAATAAAGAAAAATATATGGAAGCTTATAAACGTTTTATTAAACGAAATCCCGACTATCAGAAAAATTATAAGTATATTAAAAATGTTTCCTAATAAAAATGAACGAACAAAAACCAGAAAATATTCATGATGAAGAATTGTATGAAAATTCTTTTATTTTATATTTTGCTTGTGATAATAATAATATAGAAATAGTTAAAACAATATTAGAACAAAAATATATTAATGTTAATATACAAAATATTTATGAAGAGGAAAAATTGCTCCATTACATATAGTTAGTTTGTTATAATATTGAAATATTTAAATTATTGTTAAATCATAAAGACATTAATGTTAATATACAAGATACTAAAGACACACCGTTACATATTGCTAAAAATATAATAATATAGAAATAATTAAATTACTATTAAATCATAAATATAAAAAGTTATGGAAAATTAGTTGTAAAAAAATTAATGCTATATTATTTATTCAAAGAACATTCATGAAGAAATTATACACAACTGATTTTTATTTTCATACAAATCTTGGTAAGAAAAGAAGTAATGATTTTAATAATAAATTGAAAGTATATTAAAAATGTTTCCTAAAAAAAATGAACGAACAAAATCCCAAGAATTTTAATGATGTTTTATTTTATTGAAAAATAAATAAAGGAGGTGTGAATGTAGATAATTATTTTAAACGTATATATAAAGAAGTTAAAGATGTACTTAGTGAATATAAAACAATTAAATTTAATCGGGTTATTAAATGTTTATTTAGTCATTCTATTAATCAATTTGATAAAACATATGAACAAATAAAACACCAATTTAATGCTTGGATAGATGGATATCAACAAAAAGGTAGTGGTTATACATTTAATAAGATTTTAAAAACAGAAATAGCAGTAGCAAAAGTAAAATCATTAAG